CTGAAGAATATTTCTTCCATAAAACACCAATTAAAAATTATACAATGTAAGTCTATGGGAAAACAAGATTCAACTTGGGGATAATCTGACATTGGGACACTCTTGATACACCAATTATGTCCGCATCTGGGGGTCTCACTCTACTTGAAAATTTTGCCCATCTCTATGGGTTGATTTGCAGGGCCCGGGTCAAATTGCGAGTCAACCTCCCAGGAAATTCAACTTTTGAATTATGTGAGGTCAAATTGCAAGGTACCACCACCATCACATGTACAATATATTCAGTTTTGTAAATGAGCTTGCCAATGTATTTTTACCAAAATTACGAGGTTAAAATATACTTTGCGTGATCATAGGCTGGCATACAGTTGATCCCAAAAATTATTCTCGTGATGAAGTTGGACCAAAATTTATAGTCACAAATATGTGGCAGAAAATCCCAAAATAATGTGCGAACAGTACAAGCAATAAAAATCTGACTTTAGCCCAGTCATAAATGCAGATTCTGGAAACATTTCATTAGCCAAGAAAGACAACAGTGGATTGCTTTAGTTTACATTCTGCCCATCTCTCCAGATTTTGATTTACTTGATGCCCACAGCACTGTACTACAGTGAAACCTCTCCAAGACAAATTTCAAGGGAGACCAGCAACAACTATTTGACTTGAAGTGGTTTTGAGTCAGGGGGTTTTCAAGTCAAGACAAAAGCTTTTTTGTTGTGGGAAACATAGAAGAGTTGCAAGAAATTGTAAATGGTGATATCCTAGGCTTTAAATTGCTTCTTGAATGAATTGACAGAATTCTGAAGTTGGATGCAAGCATTCATTGGTCCAATTAGTATTTAATTTCCTTTCAAAATAAAGCAATTAATTTTTTATTTAATTTTTTGTGTCAAGAAAATAATAGCAAAAAGGCATCAGAAAATTTGAGATATGAGGTTCAAGAGGGAAAAGCCTTTGAGTTTGAGAGGTTTTTAATGCATGATTTTCAAGGGAAATTCAGATAGGGACTTGAAATAATTTGACGCATAGAGAGGTTTGACTTACCAAGGTTCAACTGTGACACATCCTAAATTTATATTTTAGACAGCTTGGTTTTCTTTAACACTTTCCTTCACAAATAAAGGTATCATGTCATGTTTTCATTGAAAATATTTCCTTCAACCACCCTCTTATCTAGTGCTCTTTTTTTATGGTGACAAGTTTCTCTAGATCTATTTGCATACCTGTTTACTATGTCACCAATAACTGACAAGCACTCTGTGTACCAGCACTGATGAAAAGCCTTCAAGCCTTTGCTTAAAAAAACTAAGTAATTAAAAAAGTAAATACTGTAGGTTTTGGGATATTGGTGGGGGTAGTTGATGGTTTGTCCCTTTTCCCTGACAGACAGCAAACAAAGGAGAAGCTGGGAAATCGGTGACTCCTCAGCCCCAAAAGAATCGACCAGTGACAGTGCATTTCAGATGTGCCCCGAATACAATGGAAATCGCCAGTTTCCTGCGTCAGAACGGAAACAAGGATGAGACTCATGTTTCTGTGGCCATGGCTTACATGTTGTGTCAGGTTTGGTGAAACTAATTACTTGTATCTGCAGTACTTCAACTTCACTTGCAATACCTACATTTATTACAGTTGGAACTCTTTAAGCCAAATTTCAAGGGACCTGCAATACAATTCAACATAGGGATGTTTTGACTTAACATATTTACTCAAGTACCATGCGCACCTTTTTTCCCAAATATCAGAAGAAAAAAATGGGTGCGCGTCATAAGCAGGTACAAAATTTTCAAGAAGTTTTAGGAAGTTATGTGTGCATTATACTTGATTATAATGGAGATACAGTATTTTGAACAAATGTAACAAGAAAACGTTTTTTACTGAAAAAGTTGAAAATTGATGAGATTTTTGTTCAATTCATGCCTAAAGTCAATTTTTGGTTTTTATTTGCAAAATTTTGTGGTTTCAGATTTACTAAAAATTGGGGTGCGTGTCTTACTTGGGGATACAATTGTAGCAAAATTTCCAACTCAAAAACCCCTGCACGCTCCTTACTCAAGGGTGCATGATACTCAAGTAAATATGGGTATATAGGGAGGTTTTGAATTTTATAGATTCTAGCTGCAATACAAAGCCCTTTTTTTGGAAAACTTGGAAAAAATGTAAATGGTGATATTCCGGGGCTTAAATGGCTTCTTGAATGAGTTAAAAGGCTACTGAACTTGGAGACAGGGGTTTATTTGCCCAATTTAGTCTTTCACTTCCTTTAAAACACATACATTTATGATTTATTGCGTGTTATCTTTCTTTTCTCAAGAAAATAATCACCAGGCCTCAGAGAATTTTGTTTGTGGAGGTTTGATGGGAAAAGCTTTTGACTTAGGTAGGTTTTTAATCTATTGTTTTTAAGGGTATTCAGATGGATACCTTTAAAAATTTGACTTATAGCGGGTAATTGGACTTAGAGAGGTGTGAGTTATTGAGGTTCTCCTGTATGAAGATGAAGACACCTGACTTTTCCCTCTACTTCATAATCTTATATTGAGGGGTTGCAGGAGAATCTGGAAGTAGGTTGTGCAGATGGATACTGCCCATATAATATGTAGTGCATGATGTTGAACTAAATGCCCCAATATTAAATGCGATTTAAAATTTTTACCAAGAAACAAGTGAAATATATTTTATGTGCAGAAAAGCACCATTTCCATGAATGAAAAATAAAATGTGATTTTCCGAAAAGTCTTTTCAAAATTTCTTGAAAATTTTTCGAGATGGTTGGTGTGTGTTAACTGTTTCCAAATTGTGTAGTGTGCATTTGCAACAAAGCTAAATATTGTACTGTACATTCTATGATTTTTTTGCTTTTAAATACAAGAAAATCTGAGTTTTATACTGTGACGCACAGTCACTCCAAAAATGACTCAACGGTGCTAAAATTTCTAAAATTTCCCGGTGAAGCATCAAAAGGAGTGAACTCATGGATGATTGTCGATCAATTGATCCTTTTTTTGTACAATTGATGCTGCATTAATGCGTGTTTCTTCGGAACTTTCTCTTCAAAATTAATACAAAATAAACACAAAAATGACCTAAAGAAATTACACTGTGCTCGAATTTGTTCGATTATTCCAGCGGTCTGAATAAATTTTCGTCTGTACAAAGACAGTCCAGAAATTGAAATTTCGGGTTAGCCAAGCAGATTCCACAAAGGGAATTCCCACCATCCATTCTATAGAAAAAAACCCTCAAGATACCGTGAGTTTCAGTCAATACAGCGCAGTACTTTATTTTTCAGGTAACCGACTCGTTTGACAATTTTTGCCTGAAAATTCTGGCTCAATTGTTGACCGGGGGCCCGAATTCCCCGTTCCATCAATNCTGGCTCAATTGTTGACCGGGGGCCCGAATTCCCCGTTCCATCAATCGCTGATTGAGTCGGGCCTCGGGTCCAGTTACACCCGATCCATCGGGTATGTCATGTGTGGCATGCACCCTTACTTTGTGGTGGGTGCACAAGACGTGGCTGAGAGCAAAGTGGAAGCTACACTGGAAGTCATTCGGAAAACGCTGGACAAAGCAGCAAAAAACGGCTTTGGAAAAAGTCGGGTGAGTGTTACTTGTAATTAAATGCAATATCAATCCACATATGTGCATGTTATAGACATACGGTTTTTTTTTCGTGTTGCTCATTGGAAGTTGCCTATATATAATAGCCTTGATTGAATATATTTGTTAATTGCTAGATTTGAATCTGGATATTCATGTGATACAGTAGTTATGTAGTAGATTGAATTGTCTTTCTTTTTATGGCCTAGGAGTTGTTTCACTTGTGTTTTTTAGTCAAGTCATTGTTGTTCTAATCTGATTATACGCCAATTTAACATGGGTGGAAAACTAGTTGAATGATTTTATCTGTTGTGAAATCTGCTATTGTTTCATAATGAGTTGATTTGGTGAATTCCAAATCAGTAGTCACAAAATACATCAGTCTCACTAAAAATCCTAAATCCCCTTTTTAAAATGTTCAGTACTTTGACGTACTTCTCTAAAGAAACTTTTGATATATACCCACTTTAGGAAGCTGTGTAAATTCTCCTTCATTTTATTTATCTTCAAATTCAGAATATCAGCAATATCTGAATGTGAACAAAGCAAAAAGAAACAACAGGCGAGGAATAAGATGGAATCCAGTTNATGTGCCCCGAATACAATGGAAATCGCCAGTTTCCTGCGTCAGAACGGAAACAAGGATGAGACTCATGTTTCTGTGGCCATGGCTTACATGTTGTGTCAGGTTTGGTGAAACTAATTACTTGTATCTGCAGTACTTCAACTTCACTTGCACTAGTTACATTTATTACAGTTGAACCTCTCTAAGTCAAATTTTAAGGGACCTGCAATAAAATTCAACATAGGGAGGTTTTGACTTATATATAGGGAGGTTTTGACTTATATATAGGGAGGTTTTGAATTTTATAGATTGGAACTGCAATACAAAGCCCTTTTTTCTGGAAAACTTGGAAAAAATGTAAATGGTGATATTCCCGGGCTTAAATGGCTTCTTGAATGAGTTGAAAGGCTGCTGAACTTGGAGGCAGGGGTTCATTTTCCCAATTAAATCTTCCACTTCCTTTAAAGTACATGCATTTTTTATTACTTTTTATCTTTCTTTTGTCAAGAAAATAATGGCCACCAGGCCTCAGAAAATTTGGCTTGTGGAGGTTTGATGGGAAAAGCTTTTGACTTAGGGAGGTTTTTAATCTATTGTTTCTAAGGGGATTCAGATGGGTACCTTAAAAATTTGACTTATAGGGGGGTACTTGACTTAGATTGGTGTGAGTTATCAAGGTTCTCCTGTGTAAAGATAATGATCCCTGACTTTTCCTTCCACTTCATGATCTTATATTATGAGGCATTGCAGGAAAATCTGGAAGTAGGTTGTGTGGATGGATGCTGCACATATACTGTATTTACTTGAGTACCATGCACCTTCAAGTAAGGCATGCACAGAAGTTTTTCAGTTGGAAATATTGCTAAAAGCTTATCCCTGAGTAAGACGCACACCCCAATTTTTAATGAATCTGAAACCACAAAAATTTTAAAAATATAAACAACAAATTGACTTTAGACATGAATTGAACAAAAATCTGATCAATTTTCAACTGTTTCAGTAAACACGTTTTCTTTTTACATTTTTTATAAATTTCTCCATTATAATTAAGTATAATGCACACAACTTCCTACAACTTCTTGGAAAATTTGTACTGCTTATGACGTGCACCCTTTTTTTTCTACTGAAATTTGAGAAAAAAGCTGCTTGTGGTACTTGAGTAAATACCATAATATACATATATTTCATGATGTTGAACTAAATGCCCCCATGTTTAATGCAATTTAAATTTTTTTTACAAAGAAACAAGTGAAATATGCTTTTTGTGTAGAAAAGCACCATTTCCACAAATGAAAAATAAAGCGTGATTTTCCAAAAAGTCTTAGAAAATGCATTGAGATGGTGTGTAAACTGTTTCCAAGTTGTGTATAGTGTGCATGTGCAACAAAGCTAAATATTGTACTGTACATTCTATGATGTTTTTGCTTTTAAATCTAAGAAAATCGGAGTTTATATACTGTGATGCACAGTCACTCCAAAAATCACTCAACGGTGCTAAAATTTCTAAAATTTCCTCGTGAAGCATCAAAAGGAGTGAACTCAAATTCTTTTTTTGTACAATTGATGCTGAATTAATGCGTGTTTCTTCGGAACTTTCTCTGAAAAATTGATAAATAAACCCAAAAATGACCCAAAGAATTTACAATGTGCTCGAATTTGTTCGATTATTCCAGCGGTCTGAATAAATTTTCGTCTGTACAAAGACAGTCCAGAAATTGAAATTTCGGGTTAGCCAAGCAGATTCCACAAAGGGAATTCCCACCATCCATCCTATAGAATAAAACCCTTAAAATACCGTGAGTTTCAGTCAATACAGCGCAGTACTTTATTTTTCAGGTAACCGACTCGTTTGACAATTTTTGCCTGAAAATTCTGGCTCAATTGTTGACCGGGGGCCCGAATTCCCCGTTCCATCAATCACTGATTGAGTCGGGCCTCGGGTCCAGTTACACCCGATCCATCGGGTATGTCATGTGTGGCATGCACCCTTACTTTGTGGTGGGTGCACAAGACGTGGCTGAGAGCAAAGTGGAAGCTACACTGGAAGTCATTCGGAAAACGCTGGACAAAGCAGCAAAAAACGGCTTTGGCAAAAGTCGGGTGAGTGTTACTTGTAATTAAATGCAATAGCAATCCACAAATGTGCATGTTATAGACATACGGTTTTTTTTTCGTGTTGCTCATTGGAAGTTGCCTATATATAATGGCCTTGATTGAATGTATTTATTGTTAATTGCTGGATTTGAATCTGGATATTCATGTGATAGTTATGTAGTAGATTTAATTGTCTTTCTTTTTATGGCCTAGGAGTTGTTTCACTTATGTTTTTTAGTCAAGTCATTGTTGTTCTAATCTGATTATACGCCAATTTAACATGGGTGGAAAACTAGTTGAATGATTTTATTTGTTGTGAAATCTGCTATTGTTTCATAATGAGTTACTTTGGTGAATTCCAAATCAGTAGTCACAAAATACGTCAGTCTCACTAAAAATCCTAAATTCCCTTCTTAAAATGTTCAGTACTTTGACATACTTCTGATACTTCTGAAACTTTTGATATACACCCACTTTAGGAAGCTGTGTAAATTCTCCTTCATTTTATTTATCTTCAAATTCAGAATATCAGCAATATCTGAATGTGAACAAAGCAAAAAGAAACAACAGGCGAGGAATAAGATGGAATCCAGTTGAAACTAATTTCATTGGCGGGCTTTTTTTCATATTTCAGCTCTATCAAACATGTTTAGTTGCAAAAAAAAAATAATGAAGCATGGAATTTTTCCCTTGACATTGTCTAAATTTAAAATTGAAGACATATGCTGGAAAGTGGAAAGTGACCCCCTGTATCTAGCATTTTCAATGTTGATGAAAACTTGTGAAACCAAAGCCTTTCATAGACCAAAAATATATTGTACTATGGAAAAAATCATAATATCCAAATTCCTATTGAAAATGGGACATCTTGTTCAGGGAAGAGAATAAAATTCCTAAAAATTCTATATTTTGCATCATAATTGCAAAAGGCAACAATAAGTAAAGTTTTACAGCAGAATAACACATTTACACATTTATCACAGCGCCTTACATGAAGTACTGTACAGTAGAAAATTTGCTCCAGTAAAAAAAATTTGGTTGATTCCCATAAGTTGGACAAACTTGAGACTCATCTTGGAAAAGGGATTTTTTGCCTTGAATAGTAAATTAATTATGAAATTTATTTTTAACAATTTTTCACTGGAGATTTGACCTTGATACAATTTTGACATGTGGTGGAAATTTTTTTGAAGCATTATTCTTATTAAATATATATACAGTACTTAAGATACTGCATATAAATCTGCATTTTTTTGTTTGTAGCTAAGATGCAAGTGCTGCCAAGGACTTCAGAAATTTAGATGATTCTTATTAACTTCTGCGGATGAGCCTGTAATCAAGTATTCGTGTAGCAAAGTTACTTCAAATTTTGAAATTTTTTGATGCGTGCAATGATGGAGCAAATGTTCGATATCTTTATTTTAGGTCAATGCAATTTTACACGGGATCGAGTTGGACCTGAAGCACCAAGACACTGGCTTTGGACTGAAGATTTTGAATCATTTGGTCTTCTTATGGCACCACCAGGACGACCCGTTGGACGCCTTGCAGATCAACGCGTTGATTTCAAAATTTCGCAAAATATATCAAGATAATCCGCGACTCCTTCAGGATTTTGTGACCAAGTACTTGGTCCGCAGCACGCATCATGTCATTGCCATTCTCACACCCGACTCCAAGGTCTGAATTTCATTATATACAGATACAGTATAATTGGGAATATTTCCTCCAAACGCAGGGAGGAATATGAGAAAAATTTCTATCAATTATGACAATTGAAAGGGAAGCGCCGAATTTTAAAAAATCGACGCAGAAGATAATTTTGTTCGAATCATTTTCGAATTTTTTTCATGAAAGGATGCTTACTTTTCTCTCTACATGGTCATCCCTTTATAGCTGATCGGACGCCTAAAACATGTCATTACAGTGGAACCTCATTAAGTTGAACTGCAAGAGACCTTGTGTGCAAATAAATTTGATTTGAAGAGTTATTGAGTTAGGGAGAGAAGCATTTTTGCTGGGGAAAAAATGATGGCAGGAAATTCAAAGTGGTGATCCTCTGGGTCTCAAATTGCTTTGTAATCGAATTGACAGGCTCATGAACTTAGAGGCTATAGGGACTAATTCATTAAATTGAATAGTTTTCCCATTTCTGTCAAAGAATTATTTTTGAAGAGCATGATTACGGTATGTTTTATTGCTCTTCTTTTTCCCAAATATAGGTGGTACCTTGCAAGTTGAACTCCTGAAATTTGACCATACAAAAATGCCATGGTTAAATTTGCTGAGCGTTTGACTTGCAATTTGACCTGGACCCTGAAAGTTGACCCAGAAAGATGGTCAAAAATGTTAAAAACTAGTATTCCAACAAGATTTCTCAGATTAGGAATTCAAATGGCATATGATAGAGCTGAAAAAAATAATTCATCAGGGAAAACATATTCAGTGCCACAAAAAAATCAGCCCTATTTGACACATTTTTTAAATGTTTTGCAAAATTCACCCTGGCAGAGTTTTGCTCTCCACTCAAAATATGAGGTGCTCTTCCTGCAGTTTTTTGTTGCTGTAGCCCAGCTTTACCCTCAGAATTCTTGAAATCAAGGTGGTATCAATTCCAAGGGTTGCCTCCAGGTCTTCCAAGGTAATTCCACCATTTTCATAAACAGCTGCCTTCACAGCCACCAATGTGGTGGCTAATGTGGCTGCAGCAACAACAAAATCTGCAGAAAGGGCACCTGATCTGTATAGCGGAGAGCAAAACTCTGACTGGGTGAATTTTGCAAAACATTCAAAAAACTTTGTCAAGCAGGGCTGATTTTTTGTGTGCCAAAGAATATGTTTTCCCTGAAGAATAATTTGTTTCCAGCTCAATTATATGCCATTTTAATTACTATTCCAAGAACTTTGGTTAGACCACTTGTACAATGCAGAAAACATTGCATTTGACATTGCTTTGCAACTTGACCCTGGTCCAGCAATAGATTAGGGTCTAAGTGTGGGGAATCACCTGTAACAGTACTTCCAAGTAATTATTCTGGGTCCCCAGAATAATAGCCCAAATTTATCAACAAAATTCTAGTTATGAAGATTCAAGAAAACAAATTTCTGAGCTGGGAAGGTTTATAGAACTGTATACAGGCTGCACCCTGCAATTTGACCTTCCACAATTTAACCATCCCATAATTTGAGTGTCAAATTTGCAGGAGGGTTGATTTGCAATTTGACCCTTTCCCCGCAATTCTACCTGCTTTGGCCACTTTTTTCGCATTTTTCTATTGATATCTTTTTAAATTTCACAGTGTCTCACTATTTGACTGCTTTGCAATTTGACCCTAGTTGGGCAACAAATCAGGGTCAAATTGTAAGGTATCACCTGCACATTGTTTGTGAGGAAACTTGGACAAGTAATAAAAAAAATTTGGCAAAAGGAGATTTTTGACTATATGGTAGGTTTGAGTTATCAAATTGCAAGTGTATAACGCTGCGGGTTCAATTTTAGCAAATGAGTTGCAACTGCCATATTTGACCAGGTGCCTGGAAAACGAGCAGAATTTGAACGTCGTTTGGTGCAGAAAAAGCATAAGGAAATGGACGAAATTGAGCGTGAACGTTACATGATGTTGCTCCGTCACATGCATGACAAAGTTGAAGACTTTCGCACGAAAGACACCAGTTCTTTGCCGATTCTTCATCTCGGCGAAATTGAACCGGATTCGCAAAGCCCAAACGTGAGTCGTCAAAAGCTCTTTGCGGTATTTTAAAGCGTATACAGTATTCTCATCCACTTTGGCTTCCCCTCGAAAATTTGATTTCATTTCTGAACTCGTAAATTTATTCTCCTTGACATAAAACGAAACCTCAAATATCTGATCTATTCATCGAATGTGACCATTTTCTGATTTAAAATGACTGCTGATGAACGGAAAATTACTCCAATTTTATTTCTCTGGTTTCCTGACATACATGTACAGTAGGTGTACCTGTATTTACTGTACTTGACAATGAGCAAAAATTCGCGCATAAAAAAATTATATTTTAATTCTGGGTTTATCGAAAGGAAATTTCCGAATTTTTTTTTTTTTTATTAGGCTTGATCTAGCTAAGATATAGGCTTGACATGGGTGCATTCTACTACCCATGTTCGAGGTAATACAGTAAATTACTTTATGGGAATATTTAGAGGAACATCGTGATGTGCAAAATAAATTAGCCCGAATTACTAAATTTACTAATTAATTCGAGTGATTAATTAATAAATTATAACTCGAGATTATTCTTGGCTCTTTGATGAAAACTTGAGGTTGTTGAAGTCAAACTCATGATGGTCAAGTGACGTGTTTCCCGCAAAATAAATTAAATCACGTACCGCGAAAAAATGCACTCATTTTTCCATGAACCACTTGAGATTTGAATCAATGTCCTTCAAAAAATCAAAAGTGATTTCACATGTCATATAACAATCAAATTTGAAAATGACTCAAGCAGCAATCGTTCCTGCACAAGAAAATTCAAGGCGTTCCAGTGCAGTATTCAGTACAACCGACGAACGGACTCACTTATTTCGCGGCTCTCATCAACTGCAACGATTTGCCGGCAGAATTCCAAGACTACGTGCCATTATTTGCGCGTTGCGTCACGAAATTAGGCGCCGGGGACTGGGATTTCAAGGCCTTGAGTCGCAGAATAGACACGCATACCGGTGGCCTATCAGGCTTTGATCACTTGAGAATCAATCCCAAGTGAGTTTTTTGTTTCAAGTAAAATACTTCCCTGCTCCAAAGGCCAGAATTTAAATTATTAGGTGAACCTTGATAACTCAAACTTCCCTATAAGTCAAATACCATGGCAGGTCAAATTTTTTTTTCACATCCCCTTAGAAACAATGCATAAAAAATTTCCCCAAGTAAAAGGCCTTTCTCCTCAACCCTCTGTAAGTTACATTTTCTGTGGTGCCTGTTGGCTATGATTTTCTTGATGCAAGAAATAAAAAACCAATACAATTAAAAGTTGATGTGTCTGAAAAGGAAGTGAAGGACTTAATGCTTGGGCGGCAAAGTCAGACTATTTTTGCAAAATTTTATTGTACCTCAGGGAAGAAAAAAAGACAACAGGGATTTGACAGCAAAGTTTGGAAAAATCCCAATGCTTTTTTATTTTTGCACAGAATAATTTTGCAGGAAAATGAAAAAAAATACTATGCTAAGCAATGGGCTTTTCTTGGATTAATCCTGACTTTTTGTCAGCCGACCTGGAAGGTCTTATCTGCCCTTCAGAAATCTTAGAATGCCCCAGCATACAAAAATTATCCAATTTTGGCCAGCAATGGGAAATAACCCTCCGCTGTCCAAGGGTTAATTGGGCAAATGAACCCCTGCCTCCAAGATCAGCATCCTTTCACATCATTAGAAGCAATTTAAGCCCCAGAACACCACCATTTAGAAAATTGGGCTATTTTTCTATGTTTCCCAGAACAAAAGAACCATGTGTTGTAGCTCAAACCTATAATTCCAAACCTCCCTAAGTCAATTTTTTCTGCTGGTCCCCGGAAATTTGACTTAGAGAGGTTCAAATGTATTTATTTATTTTTTAATCAATAAGGGATTCTGAGGAAGTGGAGGAAGGAGTATTGTTCTATTCCTTCTCCCTGAATGAGGACGCCGCGGAAATGTTCAACATTTTGACAAAAATCTTCCTGGAGTTCAATCCGAATAGCGTGGAACGCATTCGGTCCTTGCTGAAGCAAGAAGTTTCATCCTTCATGAGTTCTCTGGTCCATCGTGGAAACACAGTTGCCAAAATCTACGCATCGAAGACCCTAGGGATTTCCGGTAGACTCAAAGAGCGCTATGTTGGCATGTATCATTGAGCTGGGAAGGTTTATAGAACTGTATACAGGCTGCACCCTGCAATTTGACCTTCCACAATTTAACCATCCCATAATTTGAGTGTCAAATTTGCAGGAGGGTTGATTTGCAATTTGACCCTTTCCCTGCAATTCTACCTGCTTTGGCCACTTTTTTCGCATTTTTCTATTGATATCTTTTTAAATTTCACAGTGTCTCACTATTTGACTGCTTTGCAATTTGACCCTAGTTTGGCAACAGATCAGGGTCAAATTGTGAGGTACCATCTGCACATTGTTTGTAAGGAAACTTGGACATATAATAAACAAAAATTTGGCAAAAGGAGATTTTTGACTATATATGGTAGGTTTGAGTTATCAAATTCCAAGTGTATAGCACTGCTGGTTCAATTTTAACAAATGAGTTGCAACTGAAGTTATATTTGACCAGGTGCCTGGAAAACGAGCAGAATTTGAGCGTCGTTTGGTGCAGAAAAAGCATAAGGAAATGGACGAAATTGAACGTGAACGTTACATGATGTTGCTCCGTCACATGCATGACAAAGTTGAAGACTTTCGCACGAAAGACACCAGTTCTTTGCCAATTCTTCATCTCGGCGAAATTGAACCGGATTCCCAAAGCCCAAACGTGAGTCGTCAAAAGCTCTTTGAGGTATTTTAAAGCACATACTGTATTCTCATCCACGTTGGTTTCCCCTCGAAAATTTGAGTTCATTTCTAAACTCGTAAATTTATTCTCCTTGACATAAAACGAAACGTCAAATATCCGATCTATTCATCGAATGTGACCATTTTCTTATTTAAAATTACTGCTGATGAACGGAAAATTACTCCAATTTTATTTCTCTTGTTTCCTGAGATCCTGACATACATGTACAGTAGGTGTACCTGTATTTACTGTACTTGACAATGAGCAAAAGTCTCGCATAAAAAAATTATATTTTAATTCTGGGTTTATCGAAAGGAAATTTCCGAATTTTTTTTTTTTAATTAGGCTTGATCTAGCTAAGATATAGGCTTGACATGGGTGCATTCTATTACCCATGTTCGAGGTAGTACAGTAAATTACTTTATGGGAAAATTTAGAGGAACATCATGATGTGCAAAATAAATTAGCCCGAATTACTAAATTTACTAATTAATTCGAGTGATTAATTAATAATTTATAACTCGAGATTATTCTTGGCTATTTGATGAAAACTTGAGGTTGTTGAAGTCAAACTCATGATGGTCAAGTGACGTGTTTCCCGGAAAATAAATTAAATCACATAGCGCGAAAAAATGCACTCATTTTTCCGTGAACCACTTGAGATTTGAATCAATGTCCTTCAAAAAATCAAAAGTGATTTCACATGTCATATAACAATCAAATTTGAAAATGACTCAAGCAGCAATCGTTCCTGCACAAGAAAATTCAAGGAGTTCCAGTGCAGTATTCAGTGCAACCGACGAACGGACTCACTTATTTCGCGGCTCTCATCAACTGCAACGATTTGCCGGCAGAATTCCAAGACTACGTGCCATTATTTGCGCGTTGCGTCACGAAATTAGGCGCCGGGGACTGGGATTTCAAGGCCTTGAGTCGCAGAATAGACACGCATACCGGTGGCCTATCAGGCTTTGATCACTTGAGAATCAATCCCAAGTGAGTTTTTGTTTCAAGTAAAATACTTCCCTGCTCCAAAGGCCAGAATTTAAATTATATTAGGTGAACCTTGATAACTCAAACTTCCCTATACCCCTGTCAAATACCCCTGCAAGTCACATTTTTTCCACATCCCCCCTGAATCCCCTTAGAAACAATGCATAAAAACTTCCTCAAGTCAAAGGCTTTTCTCCTCAAACCTCTGTAAGTCAAATTTTCTGTGGCGCCTGTTGGCTATGATTTTCTTGATGCAAGATATAAAAAACCGATACAATTAAAAAGTGATGCATCTGAAAAGGAAGTGAAAGACTTAATGCTTGGGCGGCAAAGTCAGACTATTTTTGCAAAATTTTATTGCACCTCAAGGAAGAAAAAAAAACAGGGATTTGATGGCAAAGTTGGGAAAAATCCCAATGCTTTTTTATTTTTGCACAGAAAAATTTTGTGGGAAAATGAAAAAAATGCTATGCTAATAAGCAATGGGCTTTTCTTGGATTAATCCTGACTTTGCCTCAGCCCATCTGGAAGGTCTTTTCTGCCCTTCAGAAATCTTAAAACGCCCCAGCATACAAAAATAATCCAATCTTGGCTGGCAATGGGAAAGAACCCTCCGCCGTCCAAGGGTTAATTGGACAAATGAACCCCTGACTCCAAGATCAGCATCTTTTCACATCATTTAAGAAGCAATTTAAGCCCCAGAACACCACCATTTACAAATTTGGGCTATTTTTCTATGTTTCCCAGAACAAAAAATCTATGTGTTGTAGCTCAAACCTATAATTCCAAACCTACCAAAGTCGATTTTTTTTGCTGGTCTCCTGAAATTTGACTTAGAGAGGTTCAACTGTATTTATTTTTTAATTGATAAGGGATTCCGAGGAAGTAGAGGAAGGAGTATTGTTCTATTCCTTCTCCCTGAATGAGGACGCCGCGGAAATGTTCAACATTTTGACAAAAATCTTCCTCGAGTTCAATCCGAATAGCGTGGAACGCATTCGGTCCTTGTACTTCGTTCTTCAAAGTAGGAAGTACTCAAGAGACCAGGTAGCACCTTTGTGTCAACGGTTTTAGATGCGTAGCTTCTGGGATCCCTAAAGGCCATCTGAGTTTCTCGCGATACAACCGTACATAGTCTTGAGACTCATCAAAGGTGGGTTACGCATCATTTTACGGCTGTCATTTTCTCATCACTTCCGAACCTGTCTCATTCCTTTTTTTTAATTTGGAAAAACGAGAAAGTTTTGGTCCAAAAATAACCTTTTTCAACTTGGACCAGTTTGATATTAGACAGCGTACCAAACATATACTGGCATTTCATGTCTTCATTGTGATGCTTGAATGCCTTTTATTATGATTGGGAGCTTCAAAATGTTTTACCTGCCATAGATATAAAAAATAATATATAGTACAGTACTCTTGTACAACAGGTTCATTTAAATTTGTTTCTGAAAATTTCTCAACTGCTTGATAAATTCCCCAAGAAGCATGACAGAACACAACCTGATCTGCAGTTACAAAGACAATTCTATCCTACCATGGAAAAAGTATAATTCAGTATTGATAGCAGTGTATTTAATTATTTGAACTTGAAATAAATCTACATTCAAAACCTCAGTGTTGAAACATTGGAATGTAGGTGGTACCTTGCAATTTGACCTCCAACAATTTGACTGTCCCACAATTCAACAGTCAAATTTGCATGGAGGTTGCTTGCAATTCAACCTCTGCCCCAGAATTCAGCCTACTTTGGCCACTTTTTTGTGTTTCTGCATGTGCTCATATTTCTTAATTTTACAACATGTCAATTTGACTGCTTTGCAATTCAACCCTAGTCCAGCAACAGATTGGGGTCAAATGGCAATGAAGTATCACCTATGTACAACTCTCATCAATTTATGAAATATTTTGGATAAATGTTTCCAGCCTGGCTTGAATAATTGGCAGTAAGAGGATGCATTTATGGGTTAAGGAATTCTCTTTTGCTCAATAAATTTTCATCTTTGTGATCAATTTTGATGATAAAATAATATTTTTTATAGTTTCATGTGTGGATGACACATTCTTTTTCAGGTTTATTGGAGACCCAAGAGAGACTTCAAAGTGTTGTAGGCGTGTTCTCGGAAATGAGTCGCCACATTTTGTCCAAGAAGCAAATGCGTTGCTGCCTCAACACAAGTGCGGATTTCATGCCAAGTGCCTTGGGGCTGGTGGAATCCTTCCTGAAAAAAATTGGCGGAAAAGCCAGGGACTCCTTTGCCAGATACAAAAAGTCAGCCTCAGGTGGATTTCAACCCAAGTCACAACGGGTCAATTTGGTGGTCCCTCTCAACACCAACTTCACTGCCCTCGCGTTTCCAGGTTCTGTTTTGTGCCTCATTCTAATTCGTATTTGTCCTTCAACTTCCCCCCCAAACGTTTTCAATATTAATTGGAGAAAGCTACATGCATATATATATATACTGCATTTACTTGAGTACCACGCGCCCTCAAGTAAGGCGCACACAGGGTTTTTTCAGTTGGAAATTTGGCTAAAATTGTATCCCCAAGTATGACTCGCACCCCAATTTTTAGTAAATCTAAAACCACAAAATTTTGAAAATAGAAACAAAAAGTTTGACTTTAGACATGAATTTAACAAAAATTTGACCAATTTTCAACTTTTTCAGTAAAAAAAAGTTTTCTTGTCACTTTTTTCCAAAGTTCTCCATTATGATTAAGCATAATGCACACAGAACTTTCTAAAACTTCTTGGAAAATTTGTACCTGCTTATGACGCTCACCCCTTTTTTTCTTCTGAAATTTGCAAGAAAAGGTGCGCGTGGTACTTGAGTAAATACGGTATATATATATATATATATATGTATTGTGCATGAGGATGACTGGTTTCCTTTTTTCCAAACAAAATGGAAGACAAGTTTATACTGCTTGAGCAAATAAATTTGGTGATTTTTTTCTTATTGTGAAGTGGTGTCTTCCAATCTTTTTGGCATTATGAACAAAAAATCAGACAGATTTATTGTAAGGAGTACCTTAATGTCTTGAAACCCATGTTTTAAGAAATGTCTCTTTTTTGCCGCTTAGCTTGCTGTGAATGGTTCCTTTCAAGCCTGTGGTGGAGATATATTTTTTTTATAAACAAATGCAATTTAGTTATTTGACCAAATATCACCATAATGCAAGCTGGACTGAGTATAGCCGAAGTCAGAAAAAATCTGGGAAAGGATAACCTGTTTAGAAATCTCAGATGTTAATTCTGTCATAGGAAGAAAGAAAAAAATGCTTCAGCAGAGCAAGAATTTCTCATCAGCAAAATTTTTCTGCGTGCATATATTTGTAAAAATTAGAATTTTCCCCAACTTGGGCCTGGCTGCTCAATACATTTTTTCTGTGCTTCTGGGCAAAACATTTTGGAAAAATATCCCCAACTCAATGGTAGAAGGGTTAATGATGTACGTATTACAAACAAGTAAAAATTATTCAGTTTGGAGAAATGTAATAAGTAAACATTTTTAATTTTCGTCCAGCAACAAACTCATGATGATGCACAATAAATACTTTACTTGCTGATTTATGCTCTTGAGAAATCAGATAGTCCAGTACTCAATCGATTAGTGCATATGCGTCCAGTTCGTTTAAAAACAAGAACAACCATTGGAGAAAGCAAATAAAATGGTCATCAATTTCTTACTTATCACTGATCAAACGTCAGTACCAATTCTAGTTTTGTGTGTCACCCAGTTACTTTCTTTTAGTATTTTCCTTTCTTATTGAAGTTTCCGCGGATCGCCTCTGTCAATCTCGTATATTGCCTGCAAAGGGCTGCGCGAAGCATAGGTTAATTAATGCAAGGATATGCAGTGTATGTATTTTATTTATTTTTATTATTATGTTTTACCTCAGGGGTTCCACCGGCGCATGACGATTACGCAGCGCTGCAAATCCTCGCCAAAATTTTGCAGTGGCGCTACTTGATGCCGGAAATCCGACTGAAGAACAGCGCTTATGCAGCAGGTGTGGCACTGAATGAAATGCCGAATGTGTTCTGCTTGTGGTCTTACCGAGACCCCGTTGGTTATGGCACTTTCAAGGCCTTCAAAAAGGCCATTTCATGGGTCACCAAGGAAGCCAGTTTCACGGATGAAGACATTCACGAGGCCAAGCTGACTGTTTTTCAGGTATGCATCAGTGGAAATATCATCCGGGTTCGGGGAACAAATAATTGAAGCACATTACAAAATATATATATTTTCTTATAAAAGGTCGCTATTGTTCAAACTAATGTCTTCGTGGGTTATACTGATTTTTGAAAGAATTGTCATGGTCCTGTTTCTACATGAAAGAAATTTCCCATGAAGACGAAGCTCATCGTAAAACAAATTGAATTTTATCCATCTTGACAAATGTTGACCTTGAAAGTTCTCAACTTTTTTGTACATCAGGTCAATTCATTTTCAATTTAAGTGAGCGTCAAATCTTACAAGAAACTTTTGTACATAAATAGAGACCCCAAAAAAGGTGTATGATAAAAAAAAATCATAATAAGGTAAGGACTTGCTGCAGCAAAGCAATTGGGACCATGGAAAAAGCTTTGCTATAAAACGTTGTGCAGTATCAAGAAACGTGAATAACCTTTCTGGGTTTAGGGCAATAAAGGACATAAATGAATTTTGTTATAAAATGTAATTTTTTCAAGACTGAGATTCGTCGTGACAAGATTCAAGTTTTTAGAGATTCTGATGCTAAATTACGAAACACGTATCACTCTCTCTGAGGAAGACTTTAATTTCTTCAAATCTCCATGTTTTTTCGTCAAACCTTCAGTACCTGCATAAGTAAAAAAAATATTCCGGCAGAATAAATTAGTCTCATAAATTACGAAACACGTATCACTCTCTCTGAGGAAGACTTTAATTTCTTCAAATCTCCATGTTTTTTCGTCAAACCTTCAGTACCTGCATAAGTAAAAAAAATATTCCGGCAGAATAAATTAGTCTCAAAGATAGAAAGTCGTTAGTAAGGGAATTTCGCATTTAACAAATCACAGGCGTTGGCTTACAATTATAAGGACAGTACTGTAATTTATTTTACCTTCACAAGCAAATTTTTCAGTAACCCCAGGTGATACACGAAAGAAAAGGTGCGAGATGAAATTCAGCAAGTTCAAGAATGTCATCGACGAAATTATAAAAGCTTTCTGCGAAGAAGACAAACAGTATAGAAACATAGTTTTTGCGGATATATATGCGTTTTCTCTTGAAAAATTCGAGCAAAAAGTAGAAGGCTTTGAACGTCTAGTTAAACTTGTAACTAAGTACAGTATTTATGAAATTATTCATATCTTGTTATTGTTTCAAAAGTGTTGAAATTCTTTTGTTCCAAAAAAAAATAAATAAAAATAGGAAGAAGACCGACCGGTGCCACCGGGGGAAGCGGGTCTCGATCTGTTCCTGAAGGGCATGACACCGGAAATGCGGAGCAAACACCGGAAACAACTGCTCGGAGTGACCAAGAATGACATTCTCCGCGTCGCTGACAAGTATTTACGACAGCGGTTTTTGTGGTCGAGCACAAACAAACCGTTCTTTTAAGGGCTTTTGCGGTCTGGGAGCGCCGTCACCTTTGCGTAGCTCCGGACTTTGGATCTTGACAAGTCATGGCTACAGAGGTTAGATATAATATATATAACCATGGAAGACGAAATAATTTTTCACCGAATTTGGTGGCATTTTGTTTTTGCGTATTTTGGTTTTGGCAAACGAGAATTGCCGTATTCAACGTTTGTATGCTCAACCCATACATCGTGGGCCCCGTCTGAAATGATGCATTTTATAGGATGCTGTTTCAGTATTTTTAATGCGAAAAAAATCAAAACGCATTTCCCTTCAGTGAAAGCCTGCACCTATAAATTTTTTCCGTAGCTTTTAAACTTGATTTTTAAAAGTTCCTTTTAAAGAATGAGAAGGCAAGAAAGATAATTCTTCTATGCACACATTTGAATTTAAATTCATTTTCATGCATGAATCAAAATAAGAAAGCGAAAAGTTTGATTTCTTGCTACCAACAGTACTGATATCTTACAGATGATAATAATAGCAGGTAAATTATTAAGAGCAGAAGAGAAATTCAAATTTCGAGGAAGCTAATGATAAACTGAAAGGGAAAATTGTTATTGGCTCTTCTTTTCTTAAGGTTCGTTCATCATTTTTTTGAATCTGTGCATTGCTTTCCTTTTATTCTATATATAGTAATGTACTGCACTTCTTTTTGCTCATGCAAATGAATTGACTTCGCATATTTTACTTCGGGCAACAAGCAAAATTGGGAGTACAGTACAACATTATTCGAGCAAAAGAATTCGAATTTCCCCAAAATTATAATTTTCCTGCAACTTTTCTTTAGGATTCCCCTTCAGAAACCAAATTTCAATTTTAATACTGTCATAAATTTTAATTTAGTGAATTAATTCAGAAATGTATCTTTTGATGACTTTAAATACAGTATTGAAAGGAGATCATAACTTTTATATTGTTGGGTTGCGCTGTTTTTTTTTTGCCAAAGAATATGTTTGCCCTAAAGAATACTTTTTTTTCAGCTTGATCAAACGCCATTTTCATTTTCATTCCGAGAACTTTTGTTGGAACCCTCGTATGCGGCATGGGTATGGGCGATCTCCTTGGGATGGCATAATCAATGTTTGACCTTCTGTCTTCATCATGTCCCCTAGATGTCAGGTTACTCCAAAGTGAACTCCCAAACGGAGTCTCTCGTGAAACGGGAATTCGGGACGCAAAAATAAAATTTCACCCGAAGACATAACACTTTTGAATGTTAGAATAATACATATCACTTATTAACGTTGAAAAACGGTACAATGTTTCCAAATTCAACGAAGATTTTATTTATTACAGTTTGAATTTTTTGTTCAAGTTATCTTCACGTTTGACGACCCTTAATGCAAATATATACAGTACGTGTTAATATGAAAAAGTATTCCCATGTACAGTACATGAGTTCAAGGTCGTCAGCTATTCTTCGTTCAATTTTTTGTTCATGTTTGACTACCTTTAATATGAAATAAAGGTAGTCAAACGCGAAAAAAAAAGAACGTGACCAAAAAATGTACCACCTCTATCCTCCAAAATCAGAAGATGACTTTTGAATTTTTGAACTCCCCACAAGAATAATGGCACAAATCTTACTCATGTCATGTGGTACCCAGGTGCATTTATTACAGGAAATTTTCATTTGAAAAAAGAACCTGTTCACTGATGAAAGTCATTTCTCTCCAGCTAATTCCTTTGTCTGGGATCCAATGGACCCATGACAGGTGGCAAGAGGGTTTGGATGTGGGAATGTTGATTGAACCTTGTGAATCCTGATAAGTGGAAAACGAAGCTTTCTGTTCATTCATTCATGCAGTCAAAATTTGCAGGAATTTCCATGTCTATTATCATTTATATGTATCATGTCCTCAATATAAACAAATATCAAAGATGAGAGAAAAATTTGGAAATGTTTTTCTGGAAATGGGAAATCAAATCTTTATCAAAGCTTCATCTACGGAATGCATGAGTAAATTGCACATTGATAACATCCAAAAATGCATCAAGAATCTGAGGAAATTTATCATATTTTATCTTCCTCTCTGCATCAATAATCAAAAATGACAGGTAACCATGTAAATGCTCTTTAAAAATAGCTTTATTTAGCAAACGACGAATAAAATACGTTATTGTCAACAGCAGTCATGTCAATATCGTGGGATAATTTCCCATTTCTTTAGTCCCACAGAACCAGAGGAATTTAGGGATAAATGAAAGTCAAGAAGAGTATATATCACTACATTCCACGCGATTTTTTTCTCTCCGCGAATCGAAAATTGTGCAAAATAAATTGGATTCACAGCAGCAGCTAAATTATAGTTCGTAAAATGAAAGCTTTGGAAAAAATTAAATGACATAAAATGAATCCGATCAGAAATGATTAATTTTATCTTGTTTTTCTCCTCAAGAAAGAAAGTTATTTTTTAGCGAAATGAAAAAAGCCCCGTTTCGGTCGTTCTAAAAAATTAATGAAGATATACGATTCGTTCGATTTTCGGGATTCCGAATAATGAAGAAACGAACCATCGAAATGTTATTAATTCAGAACAATGGTTCTTGTTAAGAAACTGGATCGAGAAACGAAAGGGTTTCTGTGCCCTGAAGTGAAGGTCCCAACGTCGGTTTCATTGCCCCAGGAGAAACTGACAGGTATTTTCCAGGCAGTTTTTCAACTTTCTCCTGGACACAAGCACATCGTTATTTAGTCACTGTTTTCCGTTTGGACAATTTAATCTCTGGTGGAACTTGCTGGTGTCTATATAGTTCAGCAGTGGCTCTTCTGGAAACCTTCTTCCGCGAGACATTTTTGAAGTAAATTCAGAAATTGTCGTACATGTTTCGAATAGTGTTACATTTATCAGGAAAAGAAACTGTTCAAATTCAATACTGATGTTTCAGGCGTGATGACAGTGACTTTTGTCTCGAGTGCTTATCATTGATAAATTTGGCATCAGATCGAATTCCAAGATTCCGAGCAGAAACTCTGCATGTCTTACTTGTAACATATGCAGAATTCAGTATTCTATTGATGTTCTGGATATTAGAGATGAACCTCTCCATGTTGAATTTTGAAGGGGAAAAATTTTCGAATTTGAGCGGTTTCAGCTAATATAAGGAGGTTTTGAATAATTGAGGTTTGATGAACAGAACCAAGCATTTTTGTCAGCAAAAAATATAGAAGAATTGCACAAAATTGTAATTAGTGCTTCTCTGGGCATAAATGCATCTGAAATGAGTTGACAGGATGCTGAACTTGGAGGCAAGGGCTAAATTTGCCCAATTTATTCTTTTCTTTCATTTAAAAACACATTAAATTATGTTTTTATTGCTTCTTTCTTTGCTGTGTCAAGAAAATACGTAGCCAAAATGCCTCCTAAAAATTTAAGGTAGGGAGGTTTGAGAGGAAAAGGCTTTGAGTTAGGGAGGTATTTAATACATACAATGAGACCCCCACAAGCAGGCACCTCAACTTGGGAACAATTTGACACAGGGACATTCAATTTTCAATAAAAAGTCATAAAAAAAGGCTCAACATATGGACACTGACTTGACATGAGGACATTGCATGACAAAATTGCAGATATATTTTAGGAAAATTGACTTTTATTATGCTTATTTGCAAGAAACAGATATTTCCAACCCTATAAGATCTATGCAAGAAAAATTCTTCGGTACTTTTACCATCACTTTTCCCATCCATTCAGCTAATTAAAAAAAAGTACCTAGCGCACATATAGGGACTTCATTCTCTCTTCATGACTTGGATGTTATATTTACAGATGCCATATTTCAATGAACGGTATTCTATTCAATGCTCCAAATGTTCTTATTGGGTTGAAAATATATTGACTGGATCAAATTCAAGTGGCAAACAAATTTTTTGTTTCATGGAATTCTGAATAATATTTCTTCCATAAAACACTGATTAAAATTACATAATGTAAGTCTATGGGAAAACAAGACTTGACTTTGGGACAATTCAACTTAGGAACACTCTTGATGCACCAATTATGTCTGCATCTGGGGGTCTCACTGTAGTTCCTATAATAGGGGAATTTAACAGGGACTTCAAAAACATTTGACTTAGGGAGGTTTGAGTTAAATGGAGGTTCAACTGTAATTCGAAATCCTCAAGGCAATTTCTCCCATCTTCTCTACTTCGTAAATTAACTTGCGGCATTCCTTTTTTTTAAATTCCAGTATTACAGGCGAAATTTTGATTCGTTTCCATTTCCGGTCTGAAAATTCATCGCAGTTGCTTTTCGAATGTGGCTCGACGTTAGTTGTGACTTGTGACACGTTTGATTCGAAAAAAGATACCCCTATACCCTTATTACACACGAATCTCGTGTTGAACGCTCATCTTATAGCATGAATATTCTACTTGAATTCCAGATTTAGATGAATTAGTGTCAGCGTAGATGATGATGATTTCTCAAGAAAACCCTCGCAAGAAATGATCGAGCGACCAGTGACAATTATTTTCACGTCATCATGGGCGTCATCAGGACATTTTTCGCGGTGTTGTCAATTTTTTGTTCGATCG